TCTCTCTCTCTCTCTCTCTCTCTCTCTCTCTCTCTCTCTCTCGTCGTTCCTCCATTCCAGTGCGTGAGAGACGCTTCGTAAATTCATCGGTCGACGATCTCTTCCCTTTTCCTCTCTTTCTCGTTCCCTCTCCTTTTTTTTTCTTCGCCCCACGGTGCCACCACGGTGGAATGCTAGCGCTCATGTTCCTCCAGATCCTGATCGGTTCCTCCATCCTGGCGACGGCGATCCCGAAGCAGGCGATCCCGGACGGCGAGCATCGTGTTTTGAACAAGGATGCAAGCAGCAAAGATCACTATGTCCATTCCCAACATAATCCAGCCTACGATCATGAAGCCTTTCTCGGGGAAGAGGCCAAGACGTTCGATCAGCTTACACCCGAGGAGAGCACAAGGCGGCTAGGGATAATTGTTGACAAGATAGACAAGGATAGCGACGGCTACGTGACGCAGGAGGAGCTTAAAGATTGGATAATGTACACGCAGCAGCGTTACATCAAGGACGACGTGGAGCGTCAGTGGAGATCCCACAATCCAATGGGAAAGGAGAAACTGTCTTGGACGGAATACAAGGACATGGTTTACGGCGACATGGAGGAGCAGGAGAGCGACAAGGCGGACGACTCGTTCTCGTACGCTCAGATGTATAAGAGGGATCGCAGAAGGTGGACCACAGCGGATCTGGACGGCGATGACGCTCTGACCAAGGAGGAATTCACCGCCGTCCTTCACGCGGAAGACGCGGAGCACATGAAGGACGTGATAGTGCTGGAAACAATGGAGGATATCGATAAGGATGAAGATGGGAAGATATCTCTCGCGGAATACATTGGCGACCTGTACAGGGGCGAGGAAGGTGAAGAGGAGCCGGAATGGGTGAAGAACGAAAAGGAACAATTCTCCTCGTACAGAGATAAAGATGGGGATGGATTTTTGAACGCTGACGAGGTAAAAACGTGGATTATTCCCGCGGAATTTGATCACGCCGAGGCGGAGTCGAGGCACTTGATTTACGAAGCGGACACCGATGCGGATCACAAGCTGACGAAGAACGAGATTTTGGAGAAATACGACATCTTCGTCGGATCTCAGGCGACGGACTTCGGAGAGGCGTTAGCGAGGCACGATGAGTTTTAACGAGGTGCAATCTTATAAGAAAAAGAAATTACTAACGAACAAATTACTTATAATACTTAAAGCTACTTAAGATTTATAGTTTATCTACGAATCTCTTGGAACTAACGCTCTCACTTGGAGCAAACCAGACTACTAGGCGTTCTATTACTAGACGTAACTTTAGGAGTATCGATTCCGACGAGTTTCGAGGCTGCCTACAGTCTATTATGGGCAGTTCTGAGTTCCTTGGGCGTATTCAGTCCATAGTTGACGCAAATGATGGTAGCTGTGTCGATGGCCTTTGTGCGGAGTTGTCGGGGGCCATGATTGAAGCGCTTGATACTTTAGCCCCAGCGCGTGTGATTGTAATTAAAAGGCCACCGGCACGGTGGCTCTCCGAGGATCTCAGGACACGGTTATGCATGCGGAACAAATTGTATAAACAAGCTAGGCGCTCGAACTGTCTACTTGACTACGCTGCCTATAGATTGTTCAGGAATCAACTCAATATGGATATTAAGCGTGCTAAGAGTGAGTTTCACTACAACTCTCTTATTAGAATCACGGACTCGGCTAAGCTTTGGAGAGAACTCGCACGACTTGGCTTAATAAAACAAACTCTAGTCTCTCCATTGCACTTCTTTACAACTAATCAGTTGAATGCGTATTTTGCTTCGGTCTCAGGGGCTCAACTGCCTTGTTCGTACGCTGACATGGTCTCATCTATTGTCCATATACCCCGACCAGCACTGCGACTGGAGTTCAATTTCTCGGAGATACAGCCGTGCGATGTCTATAAGATTATTGCCAATGCGCCCCTACACTCGTATGCATCAGGTTCAGATGGCATCCCACTATACGTTCTGCGTATTGCTTGGCCCGTTATTTCCTCGGGGCTTACTGAACTGTTCAACCGATCGTTAGCGACTTCTACATTCCCGTCGGAATGGAAGCGTGCACTTATTCGCCCGCATTCGAAAATTCGAAACCCACAGTCTCCGACTGACACGAGGCCGATTGCGAATCTGCCTGAGTTGTCAAAGATTCTTGAGAAAATTGTTGCCTCGCAAATTGCGCAGTATTTGGATGAATTCGACCTGCTAAATCCCAAACAATCAGCCTATCGTCCGGGACACAACACTCAGTCTGCTCTCTTAAGAGTATGTGATGATATCAAACAGGGAATCGATAATGGTCAGATTACAATCATGATACTTTTTGACTTTAGTAAGGCGTTCGACACGGTGCCACATCCCAAACTTTACATGAAGCTGAAAGAGATTGGTTTCTCTGATGCCGCTATAATATGGATTTTCTCATACCTGACAGGCCGTTCTCAAGCAGTGATCGATGAACTCGGTAATATCTCTGAGTGGCTATTTACGTCATCCGGAGTGCCGCAGGGCTCAGTGCTTGGTCCTCCGTTATTCTCCCTATATATTAATGATATAGGCCGTGTTTTGAAATACTTACATCATATGATATTTGCAGATGACGTTCAGGCCTACCTCTTGTGTTCACTGGCTGACATTAGGCGCGGTCTCGAACTGGTAACTAGAGATGCGAATGCCATTTTTACCTATGCTGAAGCAAATGGTCTTAAGCTCAATCCGAGTAAGTCTAAAGTTATTATATTCGGTAGTCAAGCCAATATAAGTAGTATCGATCTCAATCAGTTGATGCCTGTAGTTGTAAACGGTGCACCCATACCTTTTGTGAGTGAAGTTAGGAATCTGGGTGTTATTCTTACATCCAATTTGTCTTGGAAGAAGCATATTTCGCTCATCTCTCAGAAGGTTCATCATGCGCTATATAATCTTAAATTCAATAAGAATTCTCTCTCGACTGCGCTAAGAACAAAGCTTGTTGTCACTTTGATTATGCCTCATATTGATTACTGCTGTCTGGTCTATCACAGCATGACCGACGAGTTGAATACGAGATTACAGAGGCTAGTAAATTGCTGTATCAGATTTATATACAATCTTAGACGTGATGAGCATATATCACCGTACAGACGGAAATTGGGATGGCTCCGTGTTGAGAATAGAAGACTGTACTTCATGGGCTGCCAGATGTATCGTATACTCCACATGCGATCGCCTTCTTACCTTCGTGAGCTTTTCACCACTCCTGATCCATTGTTGAGGAGATCAGAACGTCTGGTTGCCCCCACTCAGACCTTCTACATTCCGGCTCATAGAACAGCTACATACAGGAACTCATTCCATATCTCTGCAATCTATTTCTGGCATTCTCTACCCAGCAACATTACGACTGTATCCTCTTTTCCAACTTTTAAGATTCTTCTCCGATCATTTCTGCAGGCATCTGAGTTAGACTGAGTCTTTCAGCTTTCCTACCACGTTGAGAGTATGTTTCCTTTTGTGGGTGTTAGGCATATCGTGTGGCTGCGTTCTGACGGTTATGATTAAGTTGCGTGAATCTTTTGGTTATTTACAAGTATCATAGTCTAATTTTGTTACATTACTTTCTATTATAGGTGTTGGGCGTGTCGTGTGACTGCGTCTAGCAGTTAATATTAATATTAGGTTTAAGTTTGCGTTAATTTAGTCGTGCACATAGTTATATAGTTTTAATTATAGTTTTTGTTACATTGCTTCTATATAGCAAAATTTTGTTATCTGATAATCATTTCTGTTGTTGCTATACAGATTATATCCACATGTTATGTTGTACCTTGCCCTTTAGCTAAGGCTTGGGCATAAAATAAATTTATCTATCTATCTATCTATCTCTCTCTCTCTCTCTCTCTCTCCCTCTCCCCCTCTCTCTCCCCTCTCTTTCTCTCCCTCTCTCTCTCTCTCTCTCTAAATACAATTCTTTAAAATTCGATTAATTATTTCCCGAAAATTCGTCAAACTTCTGATACCGCTTTCCAAAAAGATCGATAACAAAAAATTATATACTTGATAGCACTCCCCAGGAAATTCAACCCCTACTTTATGTACAATTCTTTGAGATTCGGTCATTCGGAACCGGTTTTTAAAAAGATCGGTAATAAAAAATAGTACACTTTATAGCACTCCCCGGGAAATTCTACCCCTACTTCATGTATAATTCTTTGACATTTAATCAATTATTTCCCGAAAAATTGAAAGAATTAAAAAAACCGATTTCCAAAAAGATTGGTAGCAAAAACTGTACACATTATGGCGTTCGCCGTAAAATTCTACCCCTACTTTATATACAATTCTTTCAGATTCGGTCAATTAATTCCCGAAAGATTGAAAAAATTTCGATACCGGCTTCCAAAAGATCGGTAACGAAAAATTATACACTTCATAGCACTTCCCGGAAAATTCTACCCCTGTTTGATCTGCAATTCTTTGAAATTCGGTGAATTATTTCCCGAAAAATTAGAAAAATTAGAAAAATTAGAAAAACCGGTTTCCAGAAAATTGGTAACAAAAAACTATGCACATAGTGGCATTCCCCTGAAAATTCTGCCCCTATTTCATATACTTTTGGTAAAAATTATTTTAAAAAATTTCGATACCGGCTTCCAAAAGATCGGTAACGAAAAATTATACACTTCATAATACTCCTCGGAAAATTCTACCCCTATTTGATCTATAATTTGTTGAGATTTGATCAATTATTTTTCAAAAAATAGGAAAAATTAAAAAAATCGGTTTCCAGAAAATTGGTAACAAAAAACTATACACATAGTGGCACTCCCCGGAAAATTCTACTCCTATTTCATATACTTTTGGTAAAAATTCGGTTCAGGGGTTTGGGCTGGGCGTTGATGAGTCAGTCAGTCAGTCAGTCAGTCAGTCAGAACAATCGTGAAAAAAACACATTTTACCCCTTTTCATCCCCTTAGGGGTGGAATTTCTAAAAATCCTTTCTTAGTGGATGCTTACGTCATGAGAGGAATACACCCTCCAAATTTCAAGTCTCTAGGTTCAGGGGTTTGAGCTGGGCGTTGATGAGTGAGTCAGTCAGTCAGGACATCTTCCTTTATATATATAGATAGATTACTTGCTCCGTTTATTACGTTCGCTCGATTTACAGTTTTACCGCTTGCTCCGTTTCACATAACATAATCCGATTCCCTGCAATCCCTGTTCGGAGTATCGTCTCACACTGCTCCAAATTGGATCCCGTCGCGTCAGCCCAAATCGACAGGTAGAACCATATATCGCAAATCGGCGCTTACACTTATCTCTACCGCAATTCGGCGCTTACACGTTATTCTCTACCTTATTTTAGTCTATTAACAGCCTTCCGAAGTTCCGATTACGGACTTATATCCAATTGCAGCACTGCTGTTTGGCGCCGTCGGTGCTCAACAAAATATTCAAGTCGTTGTTCGGTTGCCGGGTTGTTTGCGCACGCGCTGCAAATGGCGGCTCATACATATAACGCAAGTAATGAAAAGCTGTGTTCAGCAGAGAAAACTACTTTGCAATTGTTGTAAAATTTATGAATGTGATTGGTGTATGCTTTTAATTTTGGCCGAAACTAAGAGTAATACACCAATCAAATACACGAATTTTACAATTGCAGTTGCAAATTAAGCAGCTTTCTGCTGAATACAATTATAATTAATATAATGCCTGTATATAGGTGCCTACATATAAAAACTTTTTTACTTTCTGTCTTTAATATTTATTTTTAATTATTTAATTTTTTTATTTAATTTAATTATGTTTAAAAAGTAATGGCAAACACGGCAGGTTTGTCTAGAATTCTTAGATAAGTGAGCAACAGAAAGAGAGTTCCTTTGAAGTCAATTTTGTCTTTATTATGTGTAGTTATCTTTACAAAAAAAGAAAATATGTTGACGTAAAAGAAATTGAGAGTAACTAAAAAGTTTTTACATTAGTTGAAATAAAAGCAAACCAAATCAGTAATTTGTCCTGAAGACAGAATAGAAAATAAATGAACTGAAAGAAAAACTAGATCTTACAGGACAGAATTAAGATGTCTGGGTTACTGATTGAAAATGTGAGTCCGAATGTTTACTGAAACGTAATACCAATTATAAAAAAAAGAAGAAAGAAAAATAAAAAGAGAAGGGGGCCT